ACAGTTTCGTGACCATGCATCGCGATTGGCTGATCACAAATCTCTCGCAGTCACACGGAATTTGTACTAACAGATACTTGAATTGATAAAAAATAAAAAATAATTAATGTTGGTATTTTTGGTTACCAGACCACAACGACTGCTTACCAAACCCTTGCAAGAACGATGGATTATGTGATGATCAGGTTAATAACTATAGATGCGTTTGCAGACAGGGATGGACAGGAAAAGATTGTGGTACAAGTAAGTATTTTGGGACAGCAGGTTCTTTCTTACGCGCATGCGCCAGATTCTCCACGTAAATGCTTTTGAATAATGCATTGCGTTTGTATATGCATGGAAAGTGCATTATGCATATGGTTAAATATAACTGTAGAAATATCAAACATTGAGTGTCGTATTTCACTGTGTCTGTCATCTGTGAGGCAGACCCACGAGTCAGCATCGTCCCCGTATCCTTCCTCGATTTTCCAAAGTTGTTTTTTTTTTTTACGCCTTTTTTTTTCATTTCTTTTCTTCTTCAAAAATGTTCATGTCGAATTCGTTATAAAACGACTGCCTTTTTGTTTGCCGCTTTTCCGCACAATCCAAATATGGRATTGATCATACCATACATGGAGTGAGCTTTCTCTACTCCAACTTCGACACTAACATATAGAGTAAAGCTTGATATGAGTTTTGAGTCTTTCTCCCCTGGGAAACTGAATTCTTTCTCATGTAAATCAGATTAGACCAGATTCAATTGTTCCTGCCTCCTGTCATTGCTGCCATCACGTGATGGTGCAAAGGCTTTATAAGTTAGAGCGTGCATTGACTTTAATTGTCATTTGATTTGCCAAAAAGGAACTTACTGTACGATCCAAAAAAAGCAAAATGACAAAACAATCAAATTGAGCTGATCCTCGCAGTATATGAAGCAACTTATGAAACTGCAAATTAAAAGACTCAGAAGAAATTCTGAGTCTTGAACGGGATTTGAACGCGTGCCCCGGCGAGTCTTTCAATTTGCAGCTGCATAAGTTGCTTCATATTCTCCGAGGATCAGCTCAATTTGATAAATTACAATCGCAGTGCATATATATATTTCATATATATTCTCACGTACACAATTATACTAGGAGAGAATTCTTGTCGTATTGAGCGGTGAGCGCCAAAAACTATTTTCTTGAAGAAAGGCTGTTGTACAAGGCTAAAATCTTGTTATTTAGAAAGTGGAGATGACCGATGAAAATGGAATCAAAGCGTTAACCCAAAACGAAAATTAGATTCAAAACTCATACGAAGGTCTAGTTTTTGGCGCTTTTTGCCATTTTTGCTCGTTATTGAAAAAAAATTCCTCTTAATGTATTTTGTTAGTAATTCAGTTCTCGATCTGAAGTTCCCTCAACGAAATCCCCACATGCAATCAGGTTTGCTCCTTAGATAAATTCCTCCATTCATTCATTCAAATTTATCCAAAACTCTTGCCACAGGCGTCGATGATTGTGCCTCGGATCCTTGCAAGAACAACGGCACATGCTCAGATCTCCACATGGATTACAAGTGTTCCTGTTTACTGGGATTCACTGGAAAAAACTGCGAGACAAGTAAGTAAAAAAACCAAAAGAAATTTGGAAGTTTTAATGATAATGATGGTTATAAACCCGGCAGTAATCGTGGATGCCGTGGTTTTAACCATTCAAATATACTGGTTAGAACTTTGGGAGTGTAATGTGAATGGAGTTATTAAATGTATTTATCTCATCGTCATTATCATTATTATTATCGTCATTACCATCGTCATCATCATTAATTACCACCACCATCATCATCGTCATCATCATTATCATCATCACCATCGTCATCATCATCA